ACACTAAATCAAGTCTAATCAAATGATGTTAAACTGAACCAAAGACTTGTACTTATACTCTGAACTCAAAACTAGAACAAGATGTGGACAACAAGAATTTGCGCATTTGAGCTTGAACTACACGACGCCAAGTAAAGTTTGGGTTTGCAAACAGTAGATTCAAATCCGGATGAATTCAATATGGCAGTATAAGACTTGAATGAATGTTGAAGACCCATACTGAGTTTGAAACTCAAGTCTGAATGAAATTGAACTTGGATCCAAACACATACAATGACAAGGCTTGAATCCTGTGTAAGGGAGTTCAAACAAGAACATTCGTATGGTCAATAGTGACTCAAAGTACGTTACTAGACCTCGATGCACGAACTCCTACAACAATCTCTATGAATGCCTGTTTATTGAGATGGCAATACTGGAGACCAGCAATCAAAGATCTATCCTCTACAAACAAATTCAACCATCAACCACCTGAGATTGGTGACAGGTGGGCATGATGTAGGTAATAATGGGTCTCCTACGAACGATTCCAGGAGCTCATAGTGGCTACAACGAGTCCTTGCAAATGAATACAACCTACTTGTGGATAACAACAGTGGATATGTCGTTGGTACAACGAACCACTGTAGGCACAAGCATAGACATCCCCCACCTGAGATTGTTGAAAGGTGGATGTGATGCAGATGTAAAGGACTCTCCTACGAATACTCCTTGGAGCTCGTAGTGGATACGACGAGTCCCTGCAAATATATACAAATCGCTTGTGGATAGCAACAGTGGGTATATCGTAGGTACAACGAACCAATGTGGGCACAAGTATTGATACCACCTACGACATTGGTGATCAAGATCTTCAAGCATTTCAGGTACAAGGGCAACCCGATGTACGAAGAAGAACATCTTCTGGCAGAATGGAAGAGATGTTTGAGCAAATTCGAACTAAACTTCTCGGTGTTCCAAAATTCATTCTTGTTCCTATATTCAGGAAGAAAACAACTCTGGTACCTACAAGCACCAGAAATGACAAGTCTCCTACACCGATGATCTCAAAATGTATTCTTTGCAAAGCAGTGGACTTTAAAGTCCAAAGAAGTCCCTCCCCGGTGATTGAGAAAGGGGAGTCAATATCAAGACAATCAATGCCACCGGATCTGCAACACTTATGTAAGCAGACAGAAGGCGTATACAATCTACAACGCAACGCCACCGGATCCGTAATTTCTATGCAAGCAGACAAAATGCGTCCACAACTACAACTCCACACCACCGGATCTGCAACTTCTATGCAAGCGGACATAAGGCAACTACAATACTTCAAAGTACCCTTGCACGTGCACTATAAATTGTATACACATAGGTACACTAAAGGGGTATACAATCAAACACCCGTATGGGTCCCGACGAACGTGTTATTGGTACACACGTGACGTCTAGAGATGCTGCGCGGGTTACTGAATTTGAATCCGATCCTCCTAAGAAGATAAAAAGGAGTAGATAGGGTTCGAACCATCGGCTAAATATATGGTCACGAAATCGAACGAAATATTTATCTTATACATTCATATTAGGCCTTCAAGGCCTATAATCAAGAAAATTCACAAGCAAAGGCACAAAGCCTACAAAAACCCAATCCTCGGTCGACAGCTTGGCCGAGTCGACAAGGTTCAATCAACAAATAGAAATGACCCCAAAACACCACGATGATGGCCGCGTTGAATGTAAATCTCAATCGGAGGAGTTAATTTTGGGCATTTTTCAAATTCCAAAATCCCAAAAATCTACTCAAAGTCCAAACTTCCACAAATCCTATAATCTAAAATATTGAAAATTGAAATAAACTATCAATTGCTTAAAGCAAAATTCATCCACCCTCCGCAACAGTTTGCCAGGGTGGACAAATCGAATTTTACTTCAGCTCACAAAGAGCTAAATGCCTAGTCGAAAATATCACTAGGATCCATTCTCAAACAATCTCCTGCCAGTAAGGACATGATACGTGTCCTCTAACCGGCGGTTTGCCGCCAAATGGCACCGCAGGATAAACGGTTATGACGACCCGGGGCCCTCTGAACCGAGTGATTTTGCCGCCAAATAAAACCATGAAATACCGGTTATGGCCAGAGCCAATATCCTTGAGATATGAATCAATAGGATATGATTGATAGAGCACAAAGCCCTCTGTTAGCTAAGGTGGATTCAAATTTGTCCCCTTAGACAAACATTCAACTCAGGTCTCCAAGGTTCCCTTGGATGAAGCAACCCATGACTGCCGACAAGGATCCTGCTGTCAGGTTGGGTCGACTACCTCTGATTAAGTAGACCAGAGACCACGATGGCCCGGGACGACGGATTCATGGGATCTTGATCGGGCCCATCATCCATCCCCCACCATCCGCTTTAAATGCTAGGTGGTGAAATTTCATATTTTAAATATCAAATCTTTCAACACAAATTCCAAATCCAAACCCATTGCTGCTACTATATGCCAGATACCATGTATTCTATACGTATTTGATTGACGACTAGCCTTAATCGAAATTTCTCTCTCGTTATCGGGAGGGGTAATTAACTATAGGGGCTTGCGCTTATAGGAAACCAGAACTCAGATCATAAAGTCCTCGCAAATGAGGGCGAAATCTCTGGGTAGTGTCTTATTTACAAACCCATCTTCCTTCCAAAATTTACCCCGGAACTTATTCCGTTAAAACTCCCTCGCCAAAGCAAAAAGCACAAAAACAAATCAAGTTGCGCGGCGAGGAGGCCGGGGCCGAATTTTCGGAGCCCACAAAGGGAAAGGCGTGGAAGGAGCGGAGTCGAACGACAGCCACGAAGGGGCCGACGAAGTCCACGAATGGGAGAAAGTTACCTTCACGCGAGCGAGCTCCAGTCGTAACTTTCGATCTGAATGTTGTAACTTCCGATCCACAGGAAGGGGAAGTTGTCAAACGAGTGGAGTCGAACATCGACGAGAGAGAGCGGACAGGAGAGAGAAGAAAACGAGAGCCCCAGGGCCTTGTTCCTTCGGGTATTTAACGACGAGCGAGGCAGGACGACGAACGTGGGAGGAATGCCGAAGACATGCGAGCGACGTGCAACCATCTTCTTTCGACGTGCGGGCGATGACTTCGGATAGGTACAAAAGATTTTGAGATTTTTTTTTGCCTTCGGTACGGAGGTCAACATAGTAGGTCACTCATTAAACCTCCAAACATAAAACTAATTCACCTAATTTTGTGCTATAGCTTATTTCCACTGTAAGGATTACAAAGACTATATATATATACATTAATTTAAATTTTGTATTCTTCCATTAAAGAATAAATATATCTAGCATGTAGTTTAATAGTTTATTCGAATTTGTTCAAATTTTTATCTCGATGCAAAATCTTACAATCTCACAATCCGCTCAAAATAGTTATGATGTTATTATTATTCATTATTTCAAGTAAAATTTCTTTTGCGTAATTTATTGTATCAAGTTTAAAATAATAGTTTAGGCTTAATATTTTCTAATCGCTCTAGGGGTTTTATAGTTTTTGTGTTTCTTTTTGCGGGCTTGATTATAGAGTTTGCATATATGTGTGCAGGTCCATCAAGCCATCCTACATAATGGAGAGAATGTTATTCTAAAAGTTCAGAGGCCTGGTCTTAAGAGGCTTTTTGACATAGATTTAAGTAAGAAATGTGGAACTATTTTTATTTCATGAAATTCTTCAGCGCTTGTATCTATAATTTTATTGTCATTTTTAATCTCTCTTTTGTTTATGGCTGTCCTTTCTCTTTTTGGTGTTGTAGGATATATTTAGGGTATAGAGTTGCTAACTATTTTGTTTGAATCATCCCACGCTATATCTGGTTCTTGTTGCTGGTAGGTTTAGGATTAATTTAGTAGGGAACTTTGTCTTGCTTTTATGTGTACTGCAGCCATAGTATTTTATTTCTTACTATATTTTATCCTTCTAATCCCTTATAAATATTGCCATTTTTTGGGTCAAATAAACACAACAGAGAAATCCAAAATTCTGTTCCTCTATTTGTTTCTATTTCTCCTCTTCTTTCATGGTATTAGAGCTAGTTTCGATCTAAGTGAAGGCTGGCAAATCCAAGAGAGCTCTATCCGAGTCTATCAAATAATGATAGAAGCTATTTCCTTCCTCCACCTTACCTAACTACAACTTCATCCCAAGAGTTTCCTTGGAGCACTTACCATTGCAAATTACTTACTACAAACTAAAGGGGCAGAACTTCTTTTGACAAACCGTTCGGTCCAAAGATAATTTGAGGAAGAGGGAATTTTAGAGAACTAAATAGTACTATTCTTCAATTTGAAGTGATGTTTCATTTCAGTCATGGGATAACAATAATACTTCGGCAATATCTTGATTAATTTATTCTATGGATGAATGCATTGGATCCTTTTACTTGGTTTATGGCACCGCATAGAGAAAGTCAATATAGCATACCTTAATCTTGAAACTTTTGTTCAATTGTGTGAATTAATCTTGATAAAAGGTGGTTTATCATGTTTGTTGATGATCATGCCTGCATGTGTTGGCTATTCTTATTGAAAGATAAATCAAATGTTAAACAGACCTTTACTTACTTGAGATGATTAAACCCAATATTCAACAATAATCTAAATACTTCACTTTGATATTGGTAAGGAATATTTTAGCAATACTATTGGTAGTTATCTTTATCAGTCCAATATTGTGTATCAAAGTTATGGCCACAACACTCAACAAAATGATATAGTTGCACAAAAATATCTATTAAAGGTGGCTAAATCTATTATGTTCACCATTAATACTCCAAACTATTATTGGGGGGATGCAATTCTCAATACCAAATACTTTATTAACCGTCCACCCGCGTATTTGATTCAATTCAAGACTCCAATTGATTGTTTTTTAAACTCTTTTCAAACACATGTACAACTTCATGTTTTCCTCTGGGTGTAATGCTTTTGTACATAATCATGAACCTAATAGGTACAAACTTGATCCTAAAGCTTACAAATGTGCCTTCCTCAAGTATGCGGCAAATTAAAGAGAGGACCTTAATGCTATTCATGGTTGCCTCCTTTTTTATGATAAGCCTGTTGACATATATTTTTGGATCGAGCTGATTCAAACCTGATTGGGCTCGATCACAGTCAATGTTTAAAATTGCGTATTCAGGTATTAAGGCATTTTTCATTCGTGAGGCGAGACGTAAGCCTCAAGGTGTTTTGAGGCGTAAGCCTCAAAATCAAAAGATTGCGTAAACATAAAATGATAAATTT